TAAAAGGACTATATTTTCTCCTCCAAATTTCTGGGATCCCTACCAGGATTCAGTTGGGGTTCTCCTCTTTGTGTGGGTACTTGTTAGCATGGCAGCTGAAGTGAACAGGAGGGAGGCCGTTCTGTGCCTCTTCCTCCTTATTTCATGTGATGCTACTCCAGAGGCCTGGCTTGAAAAACGCAGGACATTCGGCTTAGACAGATGGAGGGCAGGGTCATTTTCAAAATGAAATGAGTGCGCAAATCACACTGTGAAATTGGCATGACCATCACTGCTGCTGATAGACTGACTTTTTATTTTGTCTCTGATAGGTAGTTGGGGAATAGATTAGTTTTGTTGGGGGTGGTGGTGAGAGAAGGCCCTTTAATGATAGAAATTCTGGAAAGAATTAAATAGGGTGGAATATTATAAAGTGTCATAAAGCATCATTTTGTTTGCAATAGGATCTTGAAAACATGGAGCATATATCAAAAAGTGAGTGTATCATACCATTTCAAGCAATAGGAAAGCATTTGTTGGTTGTAATAAAGTGATTTGGTGACTTGTAGAAAGGAATTATAGTTTGATGAAATTTGAGTTGAACTCAGGGTGGATTTTGCTACATAAAGGGACACATGTTTATCATGTAGATGAGTTTCATTTAGGCAAAATATATAGGAGCAAAAAGCATAATGCTTGGTTCTTTAGCATGCTTATGTTCTGCCTGCCAAAATATGCCATGATCAAATCCCATATTCTATTTGTGTGTGTAATTTCTTTGGCATTCTCTTTTAAAACTAGTTGTAAGGATATGTCTTATTTATACTGTATCTTTCTGTTGGTAAACATTGTGAATTTCTGAGTATTTCAACCACAGCTGTGGTCAAACATCTTCCTTGATAAGGGAAGACCTTCTGCAAATCCACTTTCCAGTTATTTCATTTTCGTTTTGATTTCAGACCATTTTCTTCAGGACGGACAGTTTGGGAAGTTCAGTTATCTTGTGTCCCCATTCCCTCACTCCAGTCTTCTGCCATGAACAAAGAAGAAAAGAATAAATTAGTGCCAAATTGGAAATATAGCTGACTGATTTTTAGGAGCATCTGTTCAATCTTTTAAGACTTTTGGAAAGAGAGTGTATGCTAAAATCAACACTTGAGAACAATTGTGCTTAGATGGTGTGACATTTAACCTCGTTATGAACCCTCCTTTTGCTGGTAGTTCCAGCTTTATTAATATTTTAATTAGATTTTCTTCTTCAATATCCCTTGCTTTTGATCAAGTAGCTTGTATTTTGGGGTATACAGTATTATTGTCTAAATTAACTTCCCAGGGAGAACACAATAGCATTTTGGTTTATAAAAAGGATTAATAGAGAAAGCAAAACTGTAGATACAGCAGAATTAAAAAAAACAAAAAACCATTAAAACAAATAGCTACTCCAAGCTCTTGTGTTTATGAAGTACTTTGAGTATCAGGGCTGCTTTGCCTAACTTCCCTCATTAATCCTCACAGCCCTTCTGTGAATTAGGTGAGCCTTATTGTTGGCCCCACTTTAAAACTGCAGACTGCAAAGCACAAAGAAGCCAGTGATTGCTGATTGCGGCAGCGAGGAACAGTGATTGCGTATGCTGGCCAGTAGTGGGCCACACTGCACCTCTTTCCTCTCTCTGGGCACCTCCTCTCCAGTCGTTTGAATTGGCTTTGGATCATTTGCTGCAGTTTGTTCTAATAGAACAGGCACAATGGTGTAAGAATTTTAAAGTTTAAGCACCGAAGCCGTTGTGTAATTGTATGGCGTCAGTGTGGCTGGCGGTCCTGCATTGATGCGATCCCCCTGTGTAATTGCCCATGCAAATTTGAGCAATCTGTAACGGACACAGGAACACAGCCTTTGGCTGCAGACTTTCCTACCTCCAGAAAAACTTCAATAATTCGAAGAACCTCTTACCATCTTTAAAAAGCTATATGGACAGGGCTGTGCTAGTATCCCTCTCACAGTGAAAACATCACAGATCAAGACAAGGTTAATGGACTAAATTAACAGTTAACATTTAAACTGTAGGTATTTGGATGCTTGCTTCCTTCTTTCAGCCCTAAAATCACCCTTCTCAAAAGAAATAAAGGTTATTTCAGAGCTTTAGTTAAACTCTAAGTATTTTATTAAAAACAAAGATATTTAGGTCTCTTAAAGCAGACTTCCAAAACTATGGGTTAGTTGCTTGTGAAATGGCCAAGTGGTCTATAATGTAATATTCTTACAATGAAACATCAATCTGGGAAATCTACACAAAGTGAATGATTTCAAACAACTCAATTGAAAACATGTTTCCTTTCTTTCGTGTAAAACAATAATAATTAGGAAGGAAGTCAGTAGGAGATCCTTTTTAGATTATTGTACATGAAAATAAAATGGAAAAAGCAATTTCCCCCCAAGGGAATGAAACTCAGCAAAACTTAGCCTCCTATTTCCAATGCTATTTTTTAAATTTCATCTAAATATGACTTAATTTAAATCTAAACTAGAGCAAAAGAAAAACTGGGATTCAAATACACATGCAGATACACACAGAAAATGAACACAGATATAAGTGGTGACCACAAATAATATATTTTTCACAGCAAATTCTTCATTTACTTAATAAAAAAACGTATTTTTGTACTAGTATATACATTAAATGATATTGGTGTAGTTATGTTATATAAACAATCTTTAATAGTGCTGAGAGACGTACCAAACATGCAAGAACATTCAAAATTAAATTTAAAAAGATGTACAACCCCAAATTAATAGCTGAAGACAAGGTCATGACAAACAGTGTAAGCATGACATTGGGCACTGCTAAATCTAAATGCTCATCATGAAATTCTCCAGATACACCTCATTTTATTTCTGCCTTCTATATGTTTTACTCCTCTATTCTTCACTTAGGAAGCTGGTGCAATTTTGGCCTTCTTGTAGTCAGACTTAACCTTTACATTTCCTAATACATTTGAGTTTTGGGAGTTAGTTACAGCATGTCGCAGAACAACAATTTCAGAGACTGTTACTCTGAGGCGGATAATGAAAACTTCATTACCGTGGCATTGCCAGAGTTTTTAGGGTCCCAAATTAGGTTTTGTTCTGTTGCTTTAATGAATCCTTTTTGCGTTTTTGTGTTTTTTTTTTTTCCAGCCAAAGCATTTTTCTTTATACTTAAATCTTTCCCTAATATGTTTAGATTTGTATCCCACTGGAAGGAAATTGTTTCACACTGTTACTAGAGATGTAACTGGTTTTTGTCTTTCTGCAATTTGTAAGAGTCAGCAGGAAAAGCAGATTTTAAAATAATTTTACTGTGGAATAAATTGGGCAGATTCTGTTTAATCACCTTGTGTAAGTGGATAAAGTATGATTTATCCACTTTATAAATTCTTTATAAATTCACTTCTAAATTAATGGGATTTATCAGAAAATCTAAATTTTTTTTTTCGTGAAACAAAGGACATATAGGCTGGGTGTGGTGGCTCACATCTCTAACCCTAACACTTTGGGAAGCCTAGGCAGGAGGATTGCTTGAGCCCAGGAGTTCGAGATCAGCGTGGTCAGCATAGTGAGGCCTCCTCTTTACAAATAATACAAAATTTAGCTGGGTGTGGTGGTGCACACCTGAGGTCCCAGCTACTCATGTGGCTGAGGCAGGAAGGATCACTTAAGTTGGAGAGGTAAAGGCTTCAGTGGCAGTGATTGTGCCAGCCTAGGGGACAGAGCAAGACCCTGTCTCAAAAAAGGATATATTTTTTAAAAAACTGTATTGATGACTATATCTTCCATCATAATTAGAGGCAGGCTCAAGAGACATCTGTAGTATGATTGTGTTTACATCGATTCCATATATGTAACTTCTTATAGTGTCTTTATTAAGAGGATGACTGTTTTAGGTTTGTTCCTATTTTATTTGAGAAGAATAAACAAGATAATTATCTGGAAAATTTCTTTAAAGCTAAACACATCTTGGTCCTTTGGTGTGGGAATGGAATAAAAGTCAGTGCTTTTATTTAATAGATGGAGAATCTAAGACTTGGATTACAGGTTCAGCTGGTGACCAAGCTAGGATGGAGTTCCAGTCTGTTATGCACTGAATGGCACTCTTTGCAGTATGTGAAGCTGTCCCTACCCACCAGGATTGCTGCTACATTGTTGATTGTGCACATATTAGCTACACCCTGACTAGTAAGAATAAATATCATGCCTGAAAAAAACACATCTCATAGAAAAAGTGGGATGATGTTTTTTCAACCATTAATGCCAAGAGACCCAAGGAAGCAAATATAATCTAGTCAGTTTGAGTTTTTACAATAAGGCTCATATTTCAAATGTCTTTCTCCAATAGAAGATAAACATTAATAATAAGGACGAGGAAACTTTCTCTTTTTTGGAAAAGCAGAATATATGGCTAACTGCATATGCCTCACATTCTTGGAAAATTATAAATTATTTAGAAAAGGATTAAAAATGCCTGAAACCTGCAAAACTTCAACCTCTTAACCTCTGGGGTTGCTGGCACCAGGAAGCTGCTACCTTCCTTTCCACTGCTTCATGGTCATGGAGGAACAGACCCATGGCTTTAGTCAGCAGTTTCTGAATCTTGACCCACAGTAGGAAAGATACCTTAAGACAGAAGAAATAGATGGAGGCAATTACAAACAGCTACTTGATTGATGGTTGACATTGTCAGGGCTCCACTGTTACGGCAGATTGCAATGGTGTTGAACTCCCTTTGCTACCAGTGGATGTTGCTATTGGCAACCATGCAGTTAAGCCAATAAAAAGGCAAGAAAATGAGAGGAAAACTCAACCTAGTGGAAGCTGTAGGGTTTGTACTATAAATTATGATCCCATTAGCAATATGTAGAATCAACATTCAGGATAGCTACAGTGCTCACAGCAGCCTGTAGCCTCGGTCAGACCCTGGGTCCAGTTTTGTCATAACGCACATGCTTTAAAATGTTACTTTAGATGGACTGGCATCCATTTGGGCTATTTATTTATTTATTGTTGGGGAGGATAACAGATGTGGGCTCATCTCTGCCTTACACAGACTGATTTTCAATTCCCATTTGTGATATAAACATGATGTGGCACATTACCCAGAAACACCTGCAGTACTTCTGAGCTGCAGACACATCATAATCTCGCAGACCAGACTCTGTCCCTAACTCCACCCACTCTTTGTTCCTCACCTGAAGGAGGAGAGACAGCCCTGCAGAAGCTATTTTCCTTTATAGCAGAGTGATACAGAAAACTGGCTTAATAAAATCCATAAATCTGAACAACCTCCTCTTACCTGCTCTGCAGAGGCAGTTTTTTCCTGCACTCATTTTCCCCTCTAGTTTCTCCAGTCTTCCCTGCAGAGACAGCTGTAAATGGTAGCTAGGAACATTATTTTTTATGGCTCTCATTCCTTTCTTCTCTCCCTGCTCAAGTGTCTCTCTTTTCTGAGAAATTGATGACAGGGTTCCACACCTTCATTTTTTTGGTTGGAAGTGCCATTTTTCTCTGTTTGGATTGACTTTCACCTTTTTTTGGCAGTTCCCTTAACCACCTGCCTCAGTCCTTGTCTTTCCTTTATTGGTCTTCTTGCATTTCTTCTTCTTCTTGCTTTTATCCCCGCTTAGTCTGGTTTATACTTTTCTTTCTTTGTTTCTTGCCACAAAGAGTCTTTTTCTCTACAATTACCTGCTCTCCCGTCACTTCCATTTTGGTATCTTAATTTTACCCATTCCTTCTTCAGACATTTCCTGAATTGTCTACTGTGTGCCAGGAAAACAATGTCTGTTGTAGAACATGGCCCCTATTTCTTTAATATTTGTAAAGTTAATGATAGATACTGATTAATAACAATAACAAGAAATACGGTTTGTAAATTGTGGATTTTTTAAAGAGCTGGAATGGGCCTCAGGTTTCATCTAGTCCAGGGATTTTCAAACTCCCCAGAGTCCCTGTGGGCCCCCATGTATATAATCAAAGAGATGAAGGATTGTAGGTGCACTGGATCTCCAAATCCTGCCTATAATTCACAGAGGAATTCAGCTTTTGATGTTTTATATGTTAGAGATTCATTGAAAGATTTATTTGAACAAAGAGTTCTAAGGTTAAAACATGTTCAAGAATCATTTCCTAGCATAATCTAATAAACAAACTTGGAGAAGTTAAGTGACTTGTTCAAGTTAATCCAGTCAATAATGCCAATGCTAGGGATAGAAATCTATCTTCTAGTCCAGTGTTCTTTGGATAAGACACACCATGTCCACAGTTTCTCAAAATAGGGAGCAAAGCAGCTTTCTAGTCATAACATCTACTTAATACAGTTTATTCTTACCTGTTATAAACCTGGCTTCCTATAGAATATGTGTTCTTTGCCCAGACTGTTATTTCTTAACATTTGAAGCATTATTTCTTACACTTAAGGAAAAATCCAAAATTAGGGACCCCTATAGTTGGCTTTAAGCTGGTTACTGGTAGTAATCTTAAATTTTATACCAGAACTCCTCACTAGGAGAAGTCAAGGTAGTCAATGCTTAGTCTCCATGGTTCTGCTGTGTCCTATGAACTATAGTTCCTAGATGTCACTTGTGGTAAATCCAGCTATGGATTTCCTTCCACCCTTACTTTAATCAAAGTCTATCAATCCATTCCTTCTGGTAGAAGACTTGGTCTGCAATGAAGGTTGAGTTTTAAAACTCTGGAAAAGGGTACCATAGTCACAATGTAGAATTACCCATCAAACACATTTGCTGTCCTCCTACTACGTTATTCCTTTTTAGGGGGAGAACTGGGATTGATCAGTATCTATAAGGATAGTATAGTTTACCTTTTAGGTAGGCAATTCTAAAGGATCCATCAATAAGAAGCTCTAGGATTAAAAATTAAATACCTCTATGGAATACAAATCAGGATTCTTGGGACAGTCTGGCACAAAAAGGATTCAGGGACAGGAAGCAAAGGCAGGCAGTGTTTGGCTTATAACAAATAGAAAAGCCATATACAGAATGAAGCAGTGCTAATGACATTTTCACTGTTCAGTGTTCCCTCAGCTCAGAGTGAGTAGGCCGACTGTCCACAGGTCCTTGGATCCAAAACAGTCCTCTACCCAGAGCCTTCATTTCAGCCCATGCGCGTCCATCAGGGAAGAGTGAGGGTCCTGGTATGTGCTCCCTGCCCCACCTCTTCCTCTGTCCTTTACATCCACGCATCAAGGTGAAAGCCCAGGCATGCTTCCCAGTGCATCCTCGAGACGTTATGTCTTCTGAGCTAAAAGAACAAAAGGATGACATGGCTGGACTGAAACTGGCCCTTCAGGCTGCAGTCATTTTGCAACTGCAGCTGACCTGGAGGTTTAGTTCCTGTCTTCCTTGGCTACCATGACACTGGCTGGGGAGGACGAGGCAGTCGAGGCCAGCAGCCGTTTTTGGTGCAGCTCTTCCCACTTACTTCTGTTTGTAGCTACTGAATCTAGCATCGGCTTCAGTTTCACATTGACCTTCACCAATGCCTAAAACAAAACGAAACAGGTGGAGGAGAGAGGACATAGATTAACTGACATGATTTTCCACCTTTCGTTTATGAGGAGAATGGGAACTGGCTATAGGAAATGAAAGTGATGATTATTTTGGTAAACAAGAGCTATTTACAAGGAATAAATATGTATTTAACACCATTATGTTGTATTAATAGAGCCTACTCAGAGAATGAAAAAATAAGACATCACCATCATGGCTGTGTACAACTCTAGGAGACACCAGCCATGTAGACTCAAAATCCTATTTTACAACTACATCAAGCAAGACAGGAAACAAAATATCCAGCTCACATATACCTACTTATGTGTGCATCTTTGCCTGCCATAGATGGCTCCAGATCTCAATTGACTATGAACTTAAATTTTTACAAAATAATTGTACAATTGCTCTACCATAGATAACTCTGGGTGGACTTACTTGAATAGGAAAGGCCAAGTAAAATCCTGAAGTGAGGAGGTACTCATTTTTAAAGCTAAAGATCTGGGAGTTGTGCTAAAGCATGGATACATGCATGAAAATAGACATGGCAGAAAGGGAAGCAGTGTGGAAGAGAGTGACAGAGGGATGAAAGGGGCATGAGGGAAGAGGAAAGGTAAGGTGTGGCCAGGGGCAGATGGACCACCAGGCTGATGAAAGTCAGGCTCAGGCTTCATGGTCCTCATTTGCACTAGACACTTCTAAGTATATTCTTTTGTGCTTAATTGTGTGTGTGTGCTTTTAAAAGAGTCCTCCTAGCTGGGCATGGTGGCTCATGCCTGTAATCCCAGGACTTTGGGAAGCCAAGGTGAATGGATCACCTGAGGTCAGGAGTTCGAGACCAGCCTGACCAACATGGAGAAACCCTATCTCTACTACAAGATTAGCTGGGTGTGGTGGCATGTGCCTGTAAACTCAGCTACTTGGGAGGCTGAGGCAGAAGAATCACTTGAACCCGGGAGGGTGAGGTTGCAGTGAGCCATTGCATTCCAGCCTGGGCAACAAGCAAAATTTCATCTTAAAAAAAATAATTACTTT